GTTAATTATTTAGAAATTAAAAATTATTTTAAAACTATTTTAAAACCTCTCTTGGGTGGCTAGTGGATCTATCATCCATTTACATATTTAGTTCCATTGAACTATTTAAAATTATATTACTTTCTAAAGATTATTTATGTAGTACATGTATTTTAAATTATTTTAAAATTACATATATTATTAAATTCTCCTAATTTTTAGAGATCTATTTGTGAAATTATAAACACTAATCATGCATGTGAATGACATTCATGGGGAGGTGAATTAGTAGATGATTAAGTTTCAATCATTCACTAATTGCTTCATTAAGCACGCTTATTCTCTCTTTTTATCATCTTTTACATGTGTAGGGCGCACGAGCACTTAGTTTAGGCTCTCCTAGACCTTAGGATTGATGTGTTTATTATTTTTATGCATTCCCTACACGTTACCTCAAGAATTTGTCCCAAACTTTAGTTTTAAACTTATTTAATGTAGCGACACCCTAATGATAATAATTAAGAACCAATCTAGCAAAATTAGAAAAATTATAGGAGTTATGATAGATCCCTAATTGACATGAAACTTTTAACACTTAAACTTAAAGATATCCTAAATCTCTTAGAATTTTCTAGGGGTTTTTAGGATCCTTTAGCCCCCTTAATTAACAAACCCTAATTTACCCGTTAATAGGACTTTCATAACTTCAAAAAATTCTTAAAAAAACCATTTTAACTCTAAAAATTATCCATAATACCTCAAATTGTTCATAATTTAATGCTTAACTTTAGATAATTAGTGCCCCTTAATTAGAATTTAATATGAACCTTAATTTAACTTTAATTAAAAATTATCTTTTTTGCATAAATTAAATTATTAAAAATTTTAAATTTTGTACAAACACTTTGGAACACCTCTTTAGGTCATTTGGAGCTAATTTGGATCAAAATCCTTAAACTTCCCTTTATTAAACAATTTTGATAATTCAATAATCACTCCAAACTTTAAAAACTCATAACTAATTTTAAAAAATTCTAAATTATACAAACTAAATGGCATTCAACTCTAATTAATGTCTAGTATTTATTAAAAATATTAGGTTTCTAAAAAGTAACCAAAATAATACATTCAACTCTCTGGTCAACTGTAGTTTGTTAACTAGAGCCTGAAACTTCCAAAATTTGTAACTTTGTCTAGAAAGTTCCAAATCTAGCAAACTTACAGTCTAACTACCCCCCTTAAGGCATAATATTTAATTAAAATGCTAGAACTCCCAATCATAGCCCATTCCAATAGTGACATTTTGGACCCCCTTAGCCTAGCATATAGTACCTTAGACCTTCTAAAATTTGTTAATGCAATTTAAACTTCAAATATGACTATCCTAAGCATTAAAATTTATCCACAAACTAAATTAAATAAAATGGTCCCAATCCATTAATATTTAAATCTTAATTAAAGTTTCTTTTTCAGGCCTCTAATAAACTAAAACACGAGGCAACTTGAACTAATTACTCGATATAGGAGCTATCAAAAGACACACAAGCCTACTACACACATAGATTTGTTAGGTCACCACTTATAGTTCTAGAATTAGGGCTAGTGTTTTACTTCTTTTGTTTCTGTAATGTGATGTTTTTGTATGTGGCACGAGTGTTGTTTGAGTTGATTTGCTTTGATTGAATTTATTATGATGATGTTTATTTTATTATTATACTTTCTTTGCTTGTGATGTGATTTGTTCGGTAGATTACTCTTGGGCTAGTGGCGCTTTTGCTACTAATGATATCTTATGCAGGTGGCCACACTCATGCAGCTAAAAAATAATGGGGGCTAAATTAATTAATAATCATAAATGCTTGATACAGGTGCTTCAAACTAGTTATCCCCAAAATAAATAATGGCGTGACCAAGTGTGTTTATTTTTCTACATATATATAAACTACTTAGGATATTATAATTGCTTGAGACTTTTTTATTAGGATAACCATATATGAGAGTCTAGATTTTTTATTTATTTATTATAATTTGTAATTTTATACGGTATTGACTTGTGAAAGTCTTCAAAAGTATGGCATTTCAAATACTAGGTTCCCAAAGTGAAAAAGAAAGGCCCTTGATAGAGAATTTTTAATCATTTGGGTACCCTTATGGTGGATGAATCTTACGGAGCCTGAAGGAGATGACCCGAAGGAGACAATCTGAAGGAAGATGATATAGAGAAGGATGTTCCAAAATGCCTTGTTTTTAAGACTTGCATCACGTCATTTAGTAGGAATAGAATCTAGGTTATTGTCGGTGGGGCCTGACATCCATTACTTTCTGTAGACCCTAGGTTGTACTTATACAACACTTGCCGTGGACTTTTTTACTTTACTTTTTGTGAATTTATATTGATGTGTTTACATTAATTGCATAGTAGAACTTACATGTTTTTTTAGATTTCTTTATTGTATGTGCTTGGCCTATTTTCATTAGACTTTTTAGGATGAAAATATTTTCTATTCGCAATGAAATTTTAAAATTTTAAGAATTAAATAATAGATAAACCTAACAATCAAGGGAATAGCCAAAATCATCCTAGGTCGCATGCATATTAATGTATTTTCTCCCTCCTTCTATAAGACACTTCTCCACTTACTGGTATAACCTAGATAATCTAGCTTATGAGGATGAGGTGCTGAACCTGGGAAAGTCGAGTCTTTTTCTAAAATTATTTTTATAAGCCTTTTTAAAATTTTTAACATACTTGATTTGGAAGCCTTTTCAACCATCATGCATGGTATTAAAAACAAATTTAATTAAATTTTAATTGCATTAGCTCTAGAAGCATCTATCCTATATAAGTCCAGTGCCAATTAGGTAATCCTCTAGACGTTAGCCTTACTTCCAAAAAATCGAGCTATCTACCCATCTTGCATAAATACTGTATAGCGTAGATTTTATACATTTAGGTGGTTAGCTGTCTTTTCTTTTCAAGCATGATATAAGCCTATATGCATTAATTAGGGCACGTGTGTTAATATTGGGTTGAACACTAAACTCACCTTAGATTTAAGGTTCAAGACTATTATATTCGGTGTCTCGTAGTACACCTCATCGATGGATAAGTCTCCTTTTCTTCGGGAGCTATAAATCCTACTATTTACGTCACGTGGATGACGCCACTTCTATCATTCACCTATGTATGCTTTGAGTGTATGATATACTTTTTCTCCTTACTGCCTTAGTTCCTCTGGATGCTGAGATGAACCATGTATGTTGACTAAGCCGAGTTAAGCCTTTTTTTTCCTTTGAGTAGGATTTTCTAATCTTGATTTTGTGCCAATCCCCTTTTAGGAAGAATAATATCAGATCCTTAATCGAGAGTATTCTCAGGCTCCGGCCTGAGATGTAATTAACCACAAAGTCTTGTGCCCGAGGGAAATGGAATTCCACAATAAATAAATCCCACTCGAGCTGATGTATCGGGTGGGGGAAACCCCGTGACACTGATTAGGTCGTGTATATTATCACCTATCGGGATGTGCTGGCAAGAGCCGCTATCCTTAATGGTTGATCATATGTAGGATCTAATCTGCCATCCCATTGGCCCGCTTGCAAAGAGCGAGGAGGCCTGTGATCGTTTCTATCCTTCGGGGTGGTGCAGTCGTATACCCTCTACACCCTGTAGCGACGGATCCCTTTCGGAGGTCCATAGTTACGTTCAAACTCCAAGAGAGATTACTAAGTGCAGAGTCTGAACTGTAAAACTGTCCAATTTTTGTGAGTGTGCACAATAAAAGCAAAGTTATTATTCTCCACTCCACACACTCATAAAAATCGAATGCAATTTTGATCCAGACTCCGTACGTAATAATATCTCAAACTCCAAACATAATGATTTCTCCAAACGGAAGACTATTTTGCGCTGAGGACTAAGGCGATCAATATTAAGGGTATCAATTCGGGTCAACAGGTCAAGTTTGGGTCCAACCCGAGTTGACTTGGGCATAAACGGGTAGATCCAACTAGACCCACAAACCCGTCTGCCTTCCTTTCACGAATGCTGTTTGCCGAACCAAATGCAGTCTAAGTTGGTCAGTTGGAGTGAGCTCAGTGAGGCCGCTGGTGAGGCGGAGGTGGGGCTCGAGTGCTCAACTTGGCAAGCCGTGGTTACGCGCATCTCACGTGAAGTCAGATCGTCGCAAACTGAGTCGCTCGATGCCTCTACCCTAACATGACGAGGTAGCGAGGCAAGAGCTTGATGGAGCCTGGAGCTGGGGCTGGACCCGAGTGCGATGAGGCAAGCCTCGTCCTCGACCTGAACTTCCGCAGGAACTGGGCTAGGTCATCATGCAGGATCCGGATTAGTCAGGTCAAAATCGGGTTTTCGGGTCAACCCGATTCCAACTCATTTTCCAGGCAAGTCAAAAATCTGAATTAGAACCTGACCCATTTAATAAGCGGGTTGATCCAAATCTGAATTTTTTCGAATCAATTCCAAATTAAATTTTAGATTGTGCCAAATTTTGACACTTAGCGAAGATCTTTCTTTAATTGTAAAAAAAAAATAATAATAATAAAAAAACACTTCCGCTTTAAATCGCGGAAAATTTATCTCTCGCTGGCTTACTTCTTCAGGGTTTACCTGTTGACTTGACGAGTAATACGGTAACTTGCTTCGCACGTTATGTAAACGATTACCGATGCTGACATGGACGGTAGAGATCTTGAAGAATAGCATTTTCGTTATTTTGTTCAAGATTAAGGCCATTTGGTACTGCTAACCAATGGGGTCGGTGGGGGTTGTACTCTCTCTATGGAATCCTAATCCTCTTTTTTTAGGGCTTTCTCGCTGCGGGTGAGGGCTGAGGCGGCCAAGATCTTCCTTGGCTTTCTCCCTATATCTGCAAAATTTAAACAAAATTGATAGTCTTGATAGTAAAATTTTCTCTTCGGGTTTGTATCTTTGGTAAGGATTTTAGAGGTATTCAGGTGATTTTTCTTGCGTAGATAACAATGGAGGCAGATTCTTGGAGCCGTTTATTCTCTGCTTCTTCAAAGCGCCATCAATTATGCCAGCAATCCCGATACGGTGAGGCCTCCGGACGCTACTTAATGTCTTCTTTATTGGGTTTTACTGGTTTCAAGCTTTTAAGTGTGTCCTATTGGCTACTTGTGGGTTAGATCTCTACCTCGGTGCAGAAGAGGTTGATGGCATCGACGATGACTCTCGTGCTGAGTTTTCCTGCCCGTTTTGCGCCGAGGATTTCGATATCGTAGGGCTTTGTTGCCATATTGATGACGAGCATCCGCAGGAGGCGACAAGTGGGGTATACGCTCCTCCTGATTCTTTACTTATGCAGGCTGCCTCATTTTTAATCTTATGATAGCAGCAATTGTTCGTCCAATTTAAATCATGCATATATGTTATAGTGAGCCTTTTTTTCTTCCATGTATGTTATATTTTGAGTGAATTTTCGGTGTGTTTTGAGTTTTAATATAGGATACACTTCTGTGATACTTTTAGTGAGATCTATCTCTTCAACGTGGATTTTGCTGTTGCTCAATTAACCAAGCGATATTTTATTTTTTTCTTCTTTCCTCCCTTTGTAATGTGGTAGAAACCAGATGCTCTCTGATACGGTTGAATTTGTTGATTGCTTTCCATGACGAAGTACTTCGGTTTTTTTCCCCTTTCTATGATAAAAATTAAAAGATGTTCCCATCATACCAATTTTAATGCTAGTTTCAAAGTTTTTTATTTCTTGGGGTATCCATAATTTTGCTTGCGCTTTACTAATTTTTTGATCTGCATAAAATAATTAAATTGTGCTGATGTATAGCTTTTTGACACTTAAGTAATCTTGCAGGTTATGGTTTCATTAAACATTGATTGTGATGTTACTTCCTGATTACTTCTCCTTTTGCTTCACTTTTAGTTCTTGGGGTTTTCTTCCTTTATGAATCAGTGATTATTATTATTATTATTATTTGTTTTATCTTTGTAACACTATTCTTTAATGTTGTACTTTTTTCACCATGACGATTGGTCCACTTCTCGGAAGAGGAGTTGCTGCATTTTTTAAAGCATTTACTGGTAGGTTTTCTCATTTTATCTGATATAAAAAATTAACATTTATTTGGTTTGGCTTGTCAATTTATTCGTCGTATATGTAATATTTTTGAATGTTTTTCAGGGTCATTAATTATGAGGATGAATAAGAGTTTCTGAGTTTGTATATATTGTCTGACTCCTTTACTTACATATGAGGTTTTAAAAGGTCATATAAATATTCATAATTTCTATTTACTCCATATCTTTTACATTCCTTGTTTACAAAGCTTAAATTTTTTCTGTATAGCATGATTTTTTTTTTAATACGAGAACTTTCATTTAGAAAGAAGAATTGAATAGTTTTGTTGTATATTTATGCACTGCCGCAATCACCCATGTTGCTTTTATCTTGTCTTTCTTTTTTGTCTCTCAAGTATGAGCGATTGCTATTAATGCTTCAATTATGGTTTTTGATTTACTCTCTTTCCATTTAAATCAATCCGATAATTTTCTGTGTTTTGATTGACCTTTGTCAATCAATGTTGAATGTCAATGTTCTGAGCTGATGTGGTCTATTCTTTTGCAGATTTGTCCAATATGTGCATCAAGAGTTGGCATGGATTTGGTTGGGCACCTAACAATGGAACATGGAAATTTTTTTAAGATATCCTATCTTTTCTCTTTTGGCAATCCATTTTTATTGCGAGCTTGAATTATTGCGTTTGTGCTTATGATGGATACTTTTCTATTCAGAAAGCTATCATTATTCTTGTGTGATTTTAACTTTTATAATTTCCTTATGATTCCTTAACTGAGACTTACGTTCAAAGGAGGAGAAGGTTTAGGAGAGGCATGTTGGGCTCTCATTCTACTCTTTCGCTTCTAAGAAAAGAGCTTAGGGATGCCAATGCTCAGGCCCTTATTGGGGGTTGGTCCCATTCAAGTGCTCCACCTTCTGCAGCACCTGATCCTTTGCTGTCATCCTTGATTTACACATTGCCTGTTGCTAATTCTTCAAATGACATATTACCTGAATCGCCTGATGAGGGAGCCCTTGCAAGTGATCATTCAGAAAAACTGGCTGTTGAAAGGTTTGAAACTTTTTACATATTGGACATTGATATCTTTAATTTTTATCTATTTGGTCCTTGATTTCTATATTTTCCTCGCAAAGTTGTATATGAATCCCAATTGATATTTCAAATTGATTTTTTAGTTTCATTGTTGCACTAGCTTATGATAGCATGTTTGAGATATTTGTGACCTAGGGCATTGCCATGCTTGAGCATTCTAATGCTGTTTTTTTTTTTTTTAAGTGTCCATCTAGGTCCTTGATGTGTTGTTACAGGACTATTAGGGTACTATGTTTTTCTTTAAAAATTACTTAATTGATCAAGCGGAAAAGCAGTTATAGTTTAAGTCCTATTGTTTTGCAATGAAAAGTATGTTTACATTAGAAGTGACGGGATCAATAAAGAAAATGAAGAAAGGTCACACTTCACTGAGCTGTATCAAGATGCCTTCACCAGACCTCGAAAATGTAATTCAAATTAATGTGCCTGAAGAGAATATGCATCTGTCATTATTTTGAGAGTTTACTTTATAAAGTACATCTCGACTCCATTCAAATCTCTATGGATTTCCAATGAAAAAAGACTGATTTGCTATCTACTTTCATTTTATTAGAGCTATTAGGTGGAGCTAGAAACTGAATTACTTAAATAGGTTGATTTTTTTGTTGGCAAGGCTTGTTTGCACTCTTTCACTGGTTTTCTATTTCAACAACCTAATTTTAATATTTATGAAAACATGCAGAAGAATGCTCCATGATTGTATAACTTTAGGAGCACACTTGTTGGATCCATCTCTATGAGATTAGTGATAGCTTTATTTATATGAAATGCAGTCATTAGCAATAATTGTCATTCTTGCTCTCCAAGTTCATGCTATCCTCTTTTCTTCTTTTTTATTTTCGTAACAGTGTTACTTTTGTTTGTGCGCGTGTGTGTGTATGAGTAGAATCACAACTTAAGATTATCTTGTGAACTTGCTTGAGCACGGCAAGATTAATAATTGTGAATGAACATAATGGGCTAAGTTTGAGCCAATCTCCGCTTAATTTAAGATTATATTGTGATCTTGCTTGAGCATAGTAAGATAAATAATTGTGAGTGAACACAATATGCCAAATTTGAGCCAACCTTCGCTTAGCTTGTTTTCTTGTGAGCCGACTCATTTGACAATATAAAAATAGAATGAGCTTATATAAATTATAATTAAATTTTATCTACAAAAAAATGGAATGAAAAAAAGAAAATCCGTCTCCTATTTTTCTCACCTTAATTTCCCTTTTTTAATTACCATACTCTTATTTTTTCCACATTTCCATCATGGCAAATCCTAAAATCCACTTTTATCTTTTCTACTTCACATGAAAATTTACTGGCTAGTGTGCCTGCTTGAACTCACTCAAACTCATTGATTTGGGCATGAGCTTTTGCTTAATTACTTGAGGGTCAAGCTCAAGCTTAAGCCAGGGTTGATCTAGCTTGATTTTACACATTTCTAATTTCTAACCCTAAGGACGGCCAATGTTAGCAATGCAACCAATTAAAAAATTGGTTTGATTGTATGTTTGGATAAACCATAGTGGCTAACTGTGAGTGAATTCGATGGGCCAGGCTTGAGCCAATTTCCACATAGCTTGTTTTTTTGTGAGCCAACTCATTAACAATATCTTACTAGATTGTGCTTATAAATTAGAATTCAATGTTTTAATTATAAAGATGGACTGAATAAAGAAAAATTATGTTCTATTCTTCTTGTCTAGTTGTGTGGTAATTAGCATCCATATTATTAATTGTTTCTTACGTGTTTAGCTAAAAAATGTGTTTGTTTTGGCTGTGAAAATTGTCAGGTATGTCCGTCTGTGTCAAAATGGAAAATGACATGGTTCCTTAAAATTGATTGTCAATCTTTTTTCTCAAGGAAAAATTATTTTGTGTCTGAGTGCTATAAGTAAATTCATATGTTAGTATTTCTTTTATTACTTAGCGGACAGGCATGGAAGAATGATTTTGTTTTCTCTAGTGTAAACTAGAGGTTCCAAGTGGATCAAAATTCCTTTGCAAGTGTTGAGATAAAGCTGCATGCGTCAACCCTCACATACCTAGGATTGGTGGGTGCCCTATGCGATGGGTATTACCTTTTATTTCATTTATCAATTGCTTGAAATCATAATACCCAACTTTATTTTTATGACTGCTTTTATTTTTTGTATGTCATAATAATTCATAACTGCATGAAGTGTGATGAGTGTGGTGTTTGATATTTGGAACAACAATTGACAAAGACCAATTATTGTCCAAGAACTTAGATCTGTTAAAATTTGCCAAATGAACTATCTATATGGGCATCTGTGTATTAGTTCATTTTGATATTGTATGTTAACATACATAGATATTTAATATCAATGATTATTGCTTTTTTGCTTTGTTTTGTAAATGCATTCATATTTTTATGGGTTATCCAATAAGTATAATTTTTCAAATTATACCTCTTTAAAGCATATATGATCGGTTTATTACTATTTTCAAAATACTTCTCACTACAAAACTATAGTTGCACTTCTCATACCTTATTAACCGTCTCTGTTATGCTTTATCATTTTTTGTTTAAATTATTTTGGCGAGAATATTCCAGTGAATTACCGGAAGTCGGATTTCAACAGCTCATGTTGCTCTTAGAAGGAATGAATAGAGAAGAAGGCTCTGACCCTAAATTATTACGATATGGGATGGATGATTTATGGAAGCTTGAGTCCTGATGAATGAACTTAATGTTTTGATTAATCTTCTTGAGTTTTTTGAACTTCAAGCATTATATTTTGCTCGTTCCGTGCTAAGTAAAATATTGAATTTTTAAATGAAGATGATAGATAAATGTTTAGGTCCTTTAACTCCTTAAATAATACAGTAAAAAAATCACTTAAAAACATATAATATAATTTTCATTTTAAAATTCAAGATCAAACTACAGATGCTTATGCATTAATATTTATGTTTGAATTAATATAGAGTCCAATTTACTAGAATTAAGTGCTGGAATGCCAAGCTCAACTAATTCTTTAACTTGAAAACTCTAGCGATGACCTAATAGTATAGAGATGATTAGAACTGAATTCATCTTCGGCTGCAATTGACAAGAATGATACTATTCATGTTTACATATGATTAGCAAAGGGACTGATGCCAAAATCTATCAGTTATGATCAGAAGTCAGTGAAGAACCATTATTATTGACATTATTGATGAGATGTGTTTAACCTGAATCATAGAAACTGAATTGCCACTTGAGATGGTTGTAATATCTTGGAGTATCATAAAGCAGATTCTTGTAAGCATTGCATTAGTATTGGATCAATGATGGTGTTAAAGGAGTCAGGATGATGAAAAATTTGCTTATGTGAGATACTCCTAGGTCTTTTGACATTTCAGTAGGGATAGCAGTTGTTAATCTCTTTTCATTTTAGGTAGGTTTTGTAGGAAGAATTAAATGATGTTAAGAAAATGTCACTGCCAGTTTCTCCTTCATGATTTTGTTTTTCAGTTTGCTGGATAAGTTCTACTGATTGTGTTTACCAGCAATTTTTAAAACAAAAATCAAGATTCACCACAAAAATCAAAGTGTGGAAAATAAATGCGGAAGCAGTAATAAAGAACACAGAAATTTGTAGTGGTTCGGTCAACAGGACCTACGTCCACTCCCCGGAGGCGCCCTCCGAGTATTGCACTAAACTCAATATCTCTCCTTTTGCCCCCACAACAAGGCAGAGAAGCCTATACAAACATCCTTTCCACCAACCTAACTGAAGTAGAGAACTCGACTCCTTTTGCTTCCTCCAGAAGCAGGCAGAGAACCCAACTCCTTTTCCTTCCTCTAGAAGCAGACAATGAATCCAACTCCTTTTGTTTTCTCCTGAAATAGGTAGAAAACTTTGATCAGATGTTGAAGTTTACCTCTCTAGAACCCCCAAGGAACTGAGGATGACGACTGGAGAAGACAACATAAAAAAACTAAAAGAACGATGACTTCTGATCATCTGAAGGTGGTGGTGGTGGAGGTGGATGTGGCTGAAAGTAACTTGAAAGAGTGGCGAACTGCTTTCTAAACCAGGCCATATCCTGGTCATGCTGATGCTGCAGGCGAATAATGTCCTTAGTATGTTGCTACTCCTGCGCAGCAACATATCCCTCAAAGCGAAGCTCCCATTGGTTGAATCGCTCAACCAGTTAATCCAGCTGAGAGTGCTGGCTGAGAGGAACAGGTGCAGGAGCAAGTTTCAGGAGCTACCTCTTTCGCAGCTCTCCGGCTTCCTCGTCCCCTAGGTGGAGACGAGTACTGTGAAGAGCGTGGAAGTAGTTGTTCGAGTAGAAAACAGGTTGAAAGTTAGGTGGTGCAGGATATTTGAGGTTGTATTTTGATTCTAGAATATAAGTAATGATATGTTCTAAGGCAAGATTGGGCTTCCTCCTTTGTCCTGGATCTCGAATAGTAGTTAAATGCTCAAGGTAAAAAAAGATCATGTCAGTGGCATTGAATTCACGACGAGCCAAAATATAGAAGTTGGTGATTGAGAGAAGTGGAGTAATGTGAACGCGATCACCAGCTTTTGAGAGGATAGAGATGAGAAGGACATGTTGGATTGTCCTAGCATCTTTGAGTAAGATGCTAGTCTCTCCAACGTGAAAGTGAGCGTTGATGTTCCTTAAGAAGTGGTTGGCTGGAGCCCAATCGTAATCAGGATCAGAAGAGAGGATATGTAGTTTGTCCCCTGTGGTGGAGGTGGATGTGGCTGAAAGTAACTTGAAAGAGTGGCAAATTGCTTTCCAAACTAGGCCATATTTTGGTCATGCTCATGTTGCAGGCGAATAATGTCCTTAGTATGTTGCTGCTCCTGCGCAGCAACATATCCCTCGAAGCGAAGCTCCCATTGGTTGAATCGCTCCACCAGCTGATCCAGCTGAGAGTGCTGGCAGAGTAGAGCAGGTGTAGGAGCAAGTTTCAGGAGCTGCCTCTTCCGCAGCTCTCC